CAACATTGGGTAGAGTTTGTTCAGCCCACTAAGTTGGAAAGCAAGAGGAAAGATTTTATAGAGACACAGTGGATAGGGACTTTTCACTTAACCCGTCTCTGTTTTGTCCTTTGCCATCTCCTTAGGTACATCACATCTGTTCCCATACAGTGTTTTTGTTTGTTTGTTTGTTTGTTTGTTTGTTTGTTTTTCTGGAGCACAGCAACAGGCATTAGCCAGGAGATGGCTGAGGAAAAACGAGGACAAGCTTCTTCAAACAGCCACAGTCCCCACTCAGGGTCGCTAGGTCTCAGCCAAAGGCTATTTATTATACATATATAGCAGCCAGTGTCCTGTCTTCTTAAGACAGGCAATTCTGTCAGACTCCAAGCTTTTGTGATTAAAACACATGTATGAAGTGATAAAACATGTTTCTGTGGTACCAAACAACTTCAGAACTGCTGGGTGTTTTTGAAACCACGTGCTGCTGATCCTCTTTCACCAAGGAAAATAGTAGCATTTTGCACTTTGTAGACAATGGGAGTCTTATCGCTGCTGTGTTAAAAGCAGAGTTACACCAAAGCTGAGCTGTTTTGAAAATCCCTCCTTGAGCTCCCAAACTTTAATCTCCTGGTCTTGCAAGTAATGCACTGTATATCCCTCCAGCCCTTCTCTTTCTTTAAAAGAAGTGATCCTTTTGAGTAAGCTTCTGCATCAAATGTGAAGTGATGTGGGGATGAATGAGGATGGCTTACATGGACTCAGGAGTCACCCTTCCTTTTTTTTTTTTTACTGTATTGTCATAGCAACGACAATCCGCCCTTAGTATAGTCAAAAATGATCAGTGTTCTAGCTATACTTTAGAGAAGTATGTCACTTTTTTTTTTTTTTTTTTTTTTTTCCATCTGGAAGGATGACAAGGCACAAGAGCGAGTCATGGTGTCTTGAAAAACCCCAAGCACCGTTTTGTGCATGGCACCGCTTCTGGTTTGCATTTCACTGTGTACCAGTGGCAGGAAGGAAAAGAAAAAAAAAAAAAAAAGGGACGTAATTACTGTCATAAAGCATGAACTTCCAATCCCTTGAGAAACACAGCAACTCCTTGTAGAGTTTTAGTTGACATGGTGATATTTAAAAGTAGCAATATACGATGCTGGAAGCCATGGTAACCCCTACTGTACGGAGATACTATAATGTAAGGCACCCTGTGGTGGATTGTTGACAACAGGGCTTGAACGTGGAGTCTTTGGCTGTAAAAGTTACAGGTTCAGTAGCTTACATACTCATCCTGTTACACAAGCCAATGCATCAGCCTGGGAAACGCAGGCTCCACGTTGCACTGAAGCAGGACGTTGTGCTTGCGAAGTGGCCATCGATCGTTCCCCTCCTAAGACGGCTGGATCAGTAGCTTTGGTGTATCTCTTGCTGCTGAGCTGTGGCTGATGGCAGGCAAATTGCATTAAGTTTCTTTTCCTCACCACCAAGCCCTGAGAGCCCTCACTTGAGGCTTTGAATAGGTTGTGTGATCAGCCGGCTTTCACACAAACCCGTATAGCGGGGAATGTGTGCAGTCATAGTGGAGCTGCCCTGCTGAGAAGCACTTGTGATGTGAAAGGCTGTCAGGGGCAGGTGGCATCAGCTACCTGACTGCGTGTTTCTTTGCCCAGGAGAATTACCTGTACGGCCCAGTGCTGCCCTTCTGCAAAGCTGCTATTGCAGGGAGCAGCCTATTGACATACCAGCTACATCTTGGAGAGGAAAAGTGCTCTGCCACGTGGCGCATCACAGTGCGAACCTGGAGTCCAGCACTCTCCACTGAGCTCCCCTGGAGACTTGCTGTGCTGTGTGGCTCTCTGCCCTCTTCTTGGCTCGGGATTATATCCTGGCTCCACTGAAACGAGCCAGGCTTTCGACCAGAGAGGTCTGCAGCAGAGATTTTCTCTCAGCGTGCTATACAAAAATTTATGGGGGCCTGATCTTGCCTGGAGCTTCTAGATGATAAACCAATATTAAGATTCACAATAATAACTCATTACAGACAGAGTATCAAAGCTGTTCCCACAGGGCCTGAGATGAAATTCTTTTTGAGGCACATTTGGCCATATTACAGACCTCTCCCTAACGCAAAGCTAACCTTTTAATAGCCCGATGCACTGGGCTCTGCTGGTCAGTGAATCACCAGGGGAAAAGCCAGGGCTGGGGCTGGGAGGCTGTGCTGAGGCTTCACAGATGTTCTTCTGTAGCCGGAGGGACACGGCTGGTGTGGTGTGGCTACCTTGGGAAAAGTGGCTCTTGTTTTTCCAGCAGCACTCGGACGAAGCTGAGTGACATTACTGGTTATTTGTCACTCTTCGTCTGGCAGCAGATGGTGATGAATGGATAAATGCAGTCATTTCGGATGTTAAGGGTTACACCAGACTGAAGGTATAATGACAATGCTAAAAACATCAGTAGTTTTAAAGTTTAGAGAGAAATTACAGCTTAGTGTTACTGTTGTTGTTTGCTTGCTTTTTTTAGACATACCAAAAGTGGTTAGATGTACCCAATAAATGTGAACCAACCTCTGAAGTTTTTCTGGGACTATAGTGGTGGCCAGCTTCATACTAGTGGTCCAGTGACTGAAGAGTTTCATGCTGTAAGCCTTGTAGATTGGGTTTTGGGTTTTATTTTTTTTTTAATTTTTTTAGCCTTCTGTTGGTCTCTTAAAGTGCATATTTTACTGTGCAGATAATCTGTATTTGTGTGCTGTTGTCATGGTTGCATAGGTATGGACTTTCCCTCTCTCAAAGACCGAGAGAAAAGCTAACAGCACTTTGCTGAGCGTGTATAATCACAAAGGAGCACGTCTTCCAGCACAGCAGGATCCTATTCTCCCTCTTTTCTTTTCTCTTCCTGAGCCCCTTTTCCTCCAGTTTGGCATGCTAACTTTAATCTATGTTGCACACTCCCTGTGGGGAGCTCCTCAACTGTTTAGCACTGACCTGAGCATTGATATTGGTACGAGTGTTATATCACTAAGATAAACAGAAGAGGCAGACCAGTACACAGAGCTTTTGGCAACCCACCTTTTATGTCCCTGTTCCATTTCAGTATAAAACCATGCATGGCCTTCCCAGGCTTGTCTACCTTGCACCATTTCTTACCAATCTCTTTTTCTTCTCCATCGTTATCTCCTCAAATCTCTAACCCTTTACCTCTTTCTCTTCTCTACTGTTTCCCAGGGCTCTTTTACTTTTTTCTTGCTTTTATTACATTCATGTGTGCTTTTATGGGGGAGATCAGGCCAGGAAGCACAGGGTAGGTCTGTGTAAGAAGAGAAAGGATAAGAGGATGACTGAGTAACTACGAAGGACCGAGGATGAACCTAGACCTTTAGAGCTGCAGATGCCTCTCCTGTCTTTGTGATCTTGCAGGGTCTTGAGCAAACAGCTGAGGGTCAGCGAACCAGCTCACCTCTCTGTAAATCTGACTTCTCTATAAATGGCTGGAACTGTTCAGTGAGGCACTTGGTGTGTAACAGGGCTGCCAACATCGTCTCTGTCTGGACCCTTCTGGCATTTTGTTTTGGTGCCCTGTAGTAAAATGAGCGTGGCTGTAGCAGAGCCTAGGAAACGAGTACTGCTCTGTGTTGACATGGGAAAGGAAGGCAGTAATAACGTACCACCAAGGACTAAATATATACTTGCAGAAAGGGTACAAATGCTTTCAGTGAGCTAGGTGGATATTTAGGTGACTAAGGCAGCTGTCCTGGCGTTTCTAGCCAGCAAAGCCCTTACTGGTGGTGCCTGAAGCAACTAGCTGGCTCTACTCTGGGAGCACACGAGTTTGCAGCACCACAGTGCAGGAACCAGATCTGGATGTTCACAGCAAAAGCTGAAAGCCTTCCTGGTTTTCCTACTCAGTCCATACCTGGCAAATGTGCTGAAGCCTTCCATGCTGCTATTGTTTCCCTGCCGTATCTCCGAAGGCAGCCACGGGGATGCTGGCGTTTGCTGCCAAGGTGTCTCTGCTGTGTAAATACATTCCTAATGTCCCTGGGGATGCATTGCTTTAAGAGCTTGGGTTTTTTTTTCATGTTAGCAAAGCAGGTAATGGGAGTCGCTGCATCCTGCTGAGACTTTGGGGGGAATGTAGAAAGACAGAAAGCAATTATTCGAGTTAGAATGTGTGCAGAGCACTTTTATTATTGTTATTCATTGTTTTATCACCACGCGAGTTGTACTGCACTACAGAGGAGGAAGAGAGGACCATTGGCAAAGCAAGTGTCAATCAGTGAATTTGGTACATCCTAACCCTTGTTTTCTGCCAGTTGAGGTTGCCACATGCATTTTACATGTGAAAGATTGGGACTGCAGGTGAGATGAGCAACAAAGAGGGGATGAGAAGGAATCAACCAGGCTTGTGGTCTGGTGGATGATCACTCTTCTCTTGGCCTTTCCTTTCCTCTTCCTGCCCTCTCCACTCCTTGTGTTTTTTTTTGTTTGTTTTGTTTTGTTTTTTTTTCTTATTTTGCATTTGAAAAGCTCGTGTAAACATTTTCATAATACCCTGACCACTGCTTACATTGTAAGAATGAAATAAATTGAGAGGAAGGGCATATTTTGGAAGCTTTGAGGTGAATAGAACGTAAAATATCCTGTTTGCATCAAAAAAGGTGTTTTTTTTCTTCTCTGCCAGCACCATGATTAGGCATTTCATGCCTTTTATTTGGATGTCAGGCTGTTTGCTGTTCAGAAGTTTGTTTCTTTACATCTCCCCTGATGCGAGGTGCAGCCCAGGGATCCCCTTGCATTGCTCTACACAAATGGTAGCTTGGCATGCATACAGGTTCAATGTGAAACTAAACTGGTGTTTCAGTAATTTACTAGTTAATAAATTTGTTACATTTATTAACTGGGGTGGAGGAGGAGGAATAGGAAACTTGTCATTCCCTGTTGCTTCCAGAAGCTTCCCATAGCCTCTGTAGCCACAGCAGCTACTGGCAATTGATGTCAGCTGGTAGGGAAGGGTAGGGGCTCACACAACACTAATTAATGGTCAGCACCTGAGCTCATAATGCCTGGAGGTCTTAATCACCTTTCCAGAGGCTAGTGGAGTGGATCCTGAAATAACACTCTGTGCCTCTGCCCTTGGCCTAGCCTGGTCCGGTCCTGAAGTAAGTAGAGAGGAGAGGTCACCTCTAGCGTGTCTGCATTGTGCTTTTGTGCTTACTCCTGTCTTTTGATCAGAAAACCTGGATTTTGTTTCTCTTTTCTGCAGTCTGCTCCATGGGAACCCCTGCGTGGGTGAAGGGACTGCTGTGATGTGGGGCTTGCTTTCTGCTGACGTGCACCTCTGGAGGTATTGAGCAAAACCATGGAAGAAATGAATTAGTATTTCTTTCTTTCCCTCATTTTTCTTTTTCTCCTGTAAAGCCAAAGCAGTCATCTCTATCAAGATGTAGAATAATGAGACAAGGTAGTTTACAGTATCTAATCCATATTCATTTTCATGCTTTTAAAATTAGTTTAACCTTTATGATTAGCAAATCAAGGTTTTTAATAATCATTACCCCTGAGAAAAGGGACTCTTGAAAAAAAAAACCTTGATCTTGCTTCTTTATATATTCTACGTTAACTTCTTTTTGCATATTTGGGTTGCTGCCGAGCTCATAAACAATAGTGGGTGATGTGCCCTGCTACCCCACCGGGCAGCTCCTCCTAGGAGGCTATTGTGTGAAATATTTCCCTGACATCCGAATTGCAATGCAGTCACAGTATTGCTATGGCTGTGTTACTGTTAAATCACCTTGTGGGTGTTTACCAGTGCCAAAACAAATCTAGAAAACCATTTAACCAACCCATTTCAACAGGCTGTATTATGTGTGTTCTCCGCTCTAGCTTTTAATGTTTGGGCTCATTCTAACCCGTGTATTTAAGCTAATGCTATGTATGCCTGTAGTCTCAGTACTGACTGTGAGCTAGCTCTCTTAAGTCATCCTAAGCCCTCTTAGGCTTCAGACAGAAAGTGTGCTACTTGTATTTTTACGAAGCAGAAGTCATAATTCTTTCAAGCCTGTTCTTTAGCTTAACGATGCAAAGTTGTGAAAAGCTGTAGAAGAGAAACTCTCAGGGAATTTCAGATTTCTTTTCTCTTAAAAAACAAAAACTAAAAAGAAAACCTTTTTTTTTTTTTTCTCTGTTGATCTGAAAGTGAGAATTTTTGTTCCTGTATTTTTTTTATTTTTTGGTAAAGCAGAAACTTCAGCCTTTCAAAGTCTACCAAAAATTGTAAAAAGCATTAGGTGAAACACTGTTTCAGTGGTGGAGAGAGACAATACTGCTTAAACAAACAAAAAATCCACAACTTTTTGGAGGAGAGAAAAACACTTTGAAGAGAAGTGTCAAAATACTGCACTTTTAAGTAGTTCGTTTGACCACTTTCATTTCTACTGTCTTTTACTCCCTGCTGTATCTATCAGCTAAATTTAACTTGAGCTTGCAAGTACTTCCAGACAAACTGAAACAGTGTTTTAAACTTGTATTTCTTGGTAGCTGATTTTATATTCACACAGAGAGCCTTGTCTAGCAGTTATCAACATAACAGACCTCATGTATCACCTCCAGAAATAGACTCTGAAATTTACTGTGCACTTGAGCCATCTACATCACCAAAAGAAAAGGAGGCCCTAGCCCTGGCTTCTTTTCCACCCTTTTTACCATGAATGTTTCTGTCCTGGCATGAGCACAATGTGGCTGATATCAACACAATGGGCAGATGCTTTTTTTTACAAAAGTACATACAATACTTTGCTGGACACAGAATATTGTTAAATATTGCTGGCTGGATTGGTGTTTAGCATCATGAAGCTTGGACGGAGCTGAAGGAAGAGAAAGAATAGCTTGAGGAGGAGCACAGCTAATGAACCTTAGTTTCCTATGAGTTTGTTTCTTGAGGTGCATCTCCTATGTAGGTTTTCTGGGGCCTGATCGGGGGTCACTCACAGCACAGCCTTTTCCTCAGCCAGGTCCTGAGTGGCCTGTTCACTCCCTTTGCAGCTGATTCCTGCAAAAAGCATAAACGTTTCTGAGGCCTCTTCCTTCCTGCCAAAAGCAGTTGAAATAGGCTAATGAGCTCGGAATTAGCAGAGGGAGACAGAAAGGCACATTCAGACCACATAACTGTTTGGGAAACCAAGCTACAAACCTAACCCTTGGTAAACACACTCATCTGACGTGAGGAGCTAGACTGCCAGAGGGTGTGGGAGGGGGGTGAGATGGCTATTATCCTAGCATTGTGTGCGGATGCTTCAGTGGTGGGTGGGAAACTCTTAAAATTCAGCTTTGATCAGGAAATGAAATTGGTTATTAGAAAAAGGCTTCTATTTTAAAACTGCTTTCCTCCCTCTTGTGTCCCATGGTATGACTAAGGGGCCTTGCCAATTGAGAGGAAAATAGAGAGTTGGACTTGCAGATATTAAAAGCTCCCTGAGGCTGTCAGCACTTCAGGGCCCTGAAGCCAGCAGGGCTTCCAAATTGATTTAGAATCAAATGAAATAGTGGGGAGGGAGAGGAGGAGGCATAAATATTTTTCCCTTGCTAATTTATTTCCCCCTTTCATGCATGAGCTAATGCGATGGAAAGCAATGCAGCTAAAATGAGTGCATTCACGGGGAGCTGCGTGCTGTGTTACTCAGAGTTTGGGTGGAAATTGCTCATTGGCCTTTTAGGCCAGCCTGTTCCTTCCCCCTGCTGTAGTCTCTGGGATCTCATGAACAAAGTGGAGTAATGAATGCAATTCCAGTCAGCTAGCGTGCGGAATGGAGGCCAAATCCTGCAGATGCCTTCACCGTTGTGACTGCAATTCAGGACTTTCTTTTGTAAAAAGGAAGACTTCTACCTGGAAGGAGCAGTAAAATGGCAGGGAGGTCCATCTGCAAAATCTGGGCTGTGGGCTCAGTGCTGGTGAAGACTTCTAGCATGATCAATCACGTGATCTGCCCATTGCATCTTCTGGAAGCAAGAGGGCTCTTCACAGCTAGGTGCACCTCAGGCCTCACTCCACACTCTTCCTTACATACAAGGTGTATCTTTTAAATGTTGTAATGCAGTCTTTTAAATGTTGTAATGCAGTTCCTTGTATTTTCCCCGTGGTGCACCGCTTCTGCACAGACTTGTCCATGGCCTGCATGTTCTAAATGAAACTCTCATTTTGATGCATCTTCCATCTGCTTAAGCGTCGCCCATAAATAACAACATATTACAAAATTGCCTTCTTGTCAACACACAGATTGTTTATGTGTCATTTCCTCTATCCTTTGTGCTGCTGTAGCTTCCTAGGGAAGGAGGATTTATTGGTATAGCAACATTTGGGAATGAAACCAAATCCTATGGGGGTATGAAATAAATATAGGCACTTTTTGGTACTACATTTTTATTTACTTTTTACAAAATGTCTTCTTTCCTTGACGGTTTTGTATCTCACCATGTGGCATCCACTCACTTTGCAATATCATCTGTTATTTAGGGTCTTATATTTCCAGAGTCTGTTTGCAAGCTGTGTGTAGAACTGTGAACCACTATTTTTGACTGAGAGCTAATCTTTAATTTCCATGTACTGTAAGCTAATCTTGAATACCCACAAGCCTCATTTTAGTGTCATTTTGAAAGAAAAGCTTGATAGATTTAAAATGCAGGTGGGAGATTTGTCTGAAGTCATGTTAGGAAAGGAAGCTGAGGGCCTTCTTGTTCTAGTGATAAGTGCTCTTGTTCACAACTAGGTTTCAAGTAGGTGCAATGGGCAGTGTGGTCCCAGACTTGCACCACCGTACATGGTAGAGATGAAGAGCTGGTTCTTAGTGACTGTCCCTTGGGCCAGCAGTAGCACAGCTGCCCTTGATGTGAGATTATCTTTGTCCAAGTGTTCACATCAGGAAAAACAAACTTCTTCTTAGCTTTATGCTTATCAAATATAAGGATGTATGTGCTAAAGCTCATCCTACACATGCAAATGCATTTCCAAGCAGACTTGCTTTGAAAATAAAATACTTGCTTTTTGCTATCCCTTCTGCACAAGGGGCTCCATCCCTCACCCCCCAGAATGAGATTGTGCTGAACAAGCCAGGCGTTTACTTTTTGGAGGAAGAACCTTATGTGAATGATGAATGCTCCTGGGTTCAGACTACTAAGTTGGACCAGGAGAGATGTGATGACAATTCAAGAGCAAAAACTATGCTTTGCAAGGCTTGCTGCCATCTCTGGGTAGACATAAGTCAACTCTGAGACATACTGCTAGCCATTTGATAACACATATGTGAGAGATTCCCAGAATCTGTTACTATAACTTTTCCTGAGGAGCAGTCTTCAGGTTGCTTGTTTGCCTTCAGGTTTATCATACTGTTTGAAGAATTGACAGCAAGAATAGCTGCTTTTTTATCATTATTTTTCTTTTCAAATTGTTTCCTTAATCTTTTCTGAACTTCTTTTGGCTTTATACATTTTACAGTTACCACTGGTGAATTTCAGGTAGAGAGCACTGGTTTAACTGCTTCTGTTCAGATCTATGGTAAACCTGCCAGAAAGTCCCACTCTCCACTTCCTTTACCTTGAGTCAGAGCTTGCTTATAAAAATGCCTGCATGGATTTACTTTTTGCATGCATGAATTTATCTCTTAAGAGAGTTGATATGTGCCTTTGTGAGAAGGCTGGAAGACTTAGGGTTGTTGGGAAGATGGAAGGTCACCACAGGGCTCTGCAAAGAGCAGGGGGTGAATGCGCAGTACAGCCTCTGCTGTGACAGATGGGCACACCGTAGGGATCTCAGGGCTCATGCAGAGCTTGCAATGACCCAGAGAGCCTTGGAGGTGTGGCTGAAGCCTTGCCTAGAAGACATGCAGTGAGGGCAAAGTAGGCAGGGGGATTGTTTATAGTCGTATGTTTCTCCTTGGTATTTTTGAGGGATTTTTTTATTCCTTTAAATAAAAAAGTTGACTGGCTTCATTTATTTCTGATGAAAACTCACCTTTTGGAATTTAAAGATGTCTTTTTGGGGTGTTTGTCCCTAAAAACAGGACATAAACATATGACAGAGGAAAGTTTTTAACATAAAAACGACTCCATTTTATTCCTAGTATAAATTTATGTTCTGTAGAAGTAGACTTTGTAAGTGAGCTTATGCTGACCAGACAGTAAGTAGCACTAACTGCAAGAGGCAAAACGCTTGTTGTACAAACATCTTTATTAACAATAGGGGAAATGTTATTGTTTTGAGGGAAAAGTTTCAGTGCCTAATTTCTCCCTAGAATAATTAGGAGATGTATTGCCAGATTTTGGGTGTATTTCCCTATTTTAAGAGTAATAGTGACTTACAGAATATCAGCATCTCTGGAAGACGCTTCTTTTTAAAAAGAGGAGGGAAATGTTGTGAGTGGCACAGGACTTAATGGACCTAAATTTCTGGAAGAAACAGGTAGATATTAGGAAAACGTTTTCCAACACAAAAATACAGTAGATGAGACTTTCTGGTCAGGATCTGAGTCTCCGTGGCTGGTCTTTAATAGCAGGTCAGGCAAATATTGATCAGTTATGACCCTGGCAAAACCACCGTGATGCCAGAGCTGGCTGTGTGACTGCTGAAGGCAGCCTCGTCAGGGCCCTGGGAAGTGTGAGGGGGCTGCACGTGGGGCACCAACCCCAGGCAGCGCTACAGGCTCGGGGCAGAGTGGCTGGAAAGCTGTGCAGAGGAAAAGGATCTGAGGGTGCTGACTGATGCTCGCCTGAACACGAGCCAGCAGCGTGCCCAGGTGGCCAAGAAGGCCAGCGGCATCCTGGCTTGTGTCAGGAATGGTGCAGCCAGCAGGAGCAGGGAGGTGATCGTCCCCCTGTGCTCTGCTCTGGTGAGGCCGCACCTCGAGCACTGTGTTCAGCTTTGGGCCCCTCACTACCAGAAGGACATCAAGGCCCTGGAGCGTGTCCAGAGCAGGGCTATGAAGCTGGAGGTGTTTAAAAGATATTGAAATCATGTCACTAAGCTCTGCATCTAGGGGAGGGCTGGTTAGTGTTAGGTCAGAGGTTGGACTAGGTGATCTGGGAGGTCTCTTCCAACCTAAATGATTCGGTGGAAGATTAAGCGATATGATTTTATAGGCTAAAGAACCATTGAAAAGAGAAAGAGGTGGGTAAGCTTTTCAAATCAATGCTGAACAATTAAAGCGTTCTGATTATGGATGGGTTTGCATTGACCACTTGTCCCTTTTATGTATATGTTCTCATAGGGTTTTAGAAGCATCATCATGTTTTGTGGGTTTTTTTTTTCCCCTCTTAGGATCCCCTTCTCAGCCTAGGCAGAGAGTGCACTTGCCGAACTGGTGTTTGTTCACTGTTGGTTGTGCTTCTCAGAATCAGTCCCTGTACGTTTTCTACTGCACACTGTCTGTATCTTGCTCTGAAGGTAAGAAATGTTTTAATTCTAATGGTTACTTGAAATGGTTGCTTCTTAGAGTAAAACTTAATGTTAGTTGAGTCATCACTGTGCACTTCACTGTTATCAGCTTCATCCTGTAGCTGAGATTCAGTTGTAGAGAGAGTCTGGCTAGAATCAGTAAAAATACTCATTTATTGCCTCAATTAAATTATTTGGCTATATGAACTTTTGTTTGCCTCTGTGGTGTCAAACTCCATTCTCTAGACAACAGCAGCAGCGGTTGTACTTCCTGTTCCTTGACCAGGTGTCCAACCTGGACAGTCAGAGACACATCGTTAAAGATAATGCAAAACTTCATGGTTGCTAAACATGATAAAGGTGAAAACTTAGTGTCTGGAGTTATTAACTTGGTGCTAGTCTTTTCATGTCACAAAGTGGTAATTGTCTTAAGGCCAGAAAAAAAAAAAAGACCTGTGATTCTACTGTGCTTCATTTTCCTTATAGGTCTGAAATGTGTCTTGGTTATTGAGTGGGAAAGGGTAGTATTGTCGTGTGCTATTTCTTGGGTGGATATTCATAGCCCACATGTCAGTACAGCAAAGTCATGGGCTCTGACTCAAAGTGTGAGGAATACATTTGAAATGTTTCTTGGTGTTAGTAATTTTCAGTACCAGTAATACTAGACTTGCTAACAAATCTCTGCCAAGGGTTCACTACATGTTTTTTTTTCTGCTGTTAGCTACACTCTGCCAGGTGTTTGACTATACAGGAAGAAATGGTATTAGCACAGTGTTCTGTGTAATTCATGAAATGGTGCTTTTTCTGATGCAAGACTGCAGTTTCCCTTCCTACTATGCCTAGTCTCTGCTCAGTTGTTTCTTTGAGCAGATTTTTTTCCACAAGCTATTGACCCATGCTTCATTTCTTGTGTTGTCTGTTGATTTCCTTGGACTTTCATGTATCATCAGGGTTTGGTGCTCCCGCAGTTCAAGTTCTTGCACGATAATGATAAACAACATAACTGCACTTTTCCTTTATTGGGATGGAGGCAGACACTTTTTTCTGAGGTCCTGTTCAATAATGTTTTATGGAAAACTATGAAACATGGGCTGCTGAGAACAGTGGAGGTGTCCTCAGTGTAGCAACTAACAACTTTGTCTTGGCAAATTTTGTAGAACTGCATGTCTGCAGACTTTATCTACTTTTTGAACTGTTTCTATCTTGGAGGAAGCTATATAAATGAGCCATCTCTTTACATGTGTGCGCAGAGACAGCTGTGAAGATGCTGCAGATCATACTGTTTCACAGAGCCAAATGTGGAACGTTCATACATCGGTGCATTCAGTGAAGCTATTGCTTTATTTTTTTTGCTTTTTTTTTTATTGCTTTACACTTGCAGTCCAGGACTATACTGCATCAACGGACAGTGTTTTCATCAGTATATTCTGGGCTGCTTTAAAAGAAGTCTGCATCTTTGGTCCAATCTGTTGCATGTAAAGTTGAATCATGGGGCTGTGTAATCCTTAGTACATTGGGTGTGTTATGCTGTCCAGGTTTTGGCTGAGATACGGTTAGTTTTCTTCATAGTGGCTGGTACTGTGCTTTATTTTGGATTTAGGACAAAGATAATGTTGGTAACACACTATTTTAGTTGTATAAGCATTGCTCAACAACTAAGTTGAGAACTATCCATCTTCTCATACTGCCCTGCCGGCAAGGAGGCTGGGGATGCAGCAGGAGCTGGGATGGGACAGAACCAGGACAGCTGACCCAAACGGGCCAAAGGGATATTCCCTGCCATATGGGGTCACATTGAACAATGAAACTGGAGGGAGCTGGCTGGCTGGCAGGGATGCTGCTGGTTAGGGACTAGCTGGGTATTGGATAGCAGGTGGTGAGAAATTGCATTGTAAATCACTTTTTTGTATTTTCTTTTTATTATTTATTATTTTCCTTTTCTGTCATACTAAACTGTCTTTATCTCAACCCATGAGTTTTACCTTGTTCCAGTTCTCTTCCCTATCCTGCTGGGTGGGCGTGGGTGGGAAGTGGCTGTCAGGTACCTGTTGGGTTAAACCATAAAGCATAGAGTGGCAAAACTGAGGTTTTACAAACAGTGTCACTGAACTAATTTGCATGGAGTTCCTGGCCTTTTAACCATCTCGGTTATGGAAAATACAAGTAAGTTCCCTTCTCTGAGTTTCTGGCAGCTAATTCATTTTCTTGCTGTTTTCCCATGTTATTCTGAATCAGTGCAAAAGTTGCATCTTCTAGGAACACCTTGTTCTGATAAACAATGTGGAATGCAGAGGACCTGGAGCCAAAGCTGGGTATATTCAGAACAATGTGAAAGTGAGCAAAACCAAATTTCTTTGTTACCTTGACTTCTAGAGAGCTAACAATTGACTCCAGAACTTCAGAAAACCATTTCTGTTGTCTTCTGACACTTATGAAATAGCTTCACAAGAGTCATTATCATTCAAGCATTTGATAGAGGTCTGATTTTCACTTGTGGCCTACTGATGCATACAGCACAAAAGATGAATTTTCTGCTCAGCCAATCCCCAGCTTATTGTAGTAGAAAATTGTGCTTGGCATTATGTTGTTTCTTTTGATGTACATTACATGTTATATTTCTAGTGCTTGAATTAGGATTACAAATTTCCAGAGTTATGGGATGACAGCGTAACCTTGACCAGATGATCCTGAAAGTATTTTTCAACCTTACTGATTCTATGAATTATTTTAAGATGGTGTGGCAGGTAATATAGGACCCAAATTTATATTTGGTAATTAAAAATAATAAAAGAGCATCTGTAAAATTTCATATGGACACAAATGTTATGACTTTGCAAGTCATTATAATGGAAAAATTCTCTTTCAAACCTTTTTATCCAAAGGCAACACTTAATTTCAGTGAGGATACCACTGCTGCTAAACATGCCATTGTAGTTTTCTGTCTTACAGAATGATGGTAGCAGAAGGAAGTGGTTAAGGAAAAATAAATAAATTAATTTTTATTGTTGGCTTAGTTTCAATAATCTAGGAAGTTATTAATAACTGTGGCTGCTTGAATAATTTATAAGATGCATCTCAGTGTTTTTTCACATTAATTATTTGATCATTTCCACTGATTATTGTTGTTTGTAATTACCGTGGTGCCTAGAGGATCAAATTAAGATAAGGGTCTCTTACTCTTTATGCTAAGTAAATAGATGCATTTCTTTCCTAAAGAAGCTGCAATCTGAGCTGTTATGATAGAGAGGGGAAAGAAGATAAACAGTTGGCTCAGGGTCATAGCAAAGTCTCTGATGGAGAGAGTTAGCATCATTTAGGAGTCTTACTGCAACCCATTGTCTGTAGGCCATAATTTATCTAACTGTTGATATGTGCACTCGTACCCTTTTCATATATGACGTGACAGGTTGTCAGGTATCTCTTCACTTTTGCTTTATCCATACCTGTTGCCAAGCAAAGAAAGGCAGCTCAGATGTATCCCAGTCCTTAGTGCTGGGAGTGATAGACTAGAGATTTGCCTGTAATACTCAGAATTATAGTATTTAATGATACTGGTGAGTGTAGAAAGAGAAATGGAATCCAGTTTCTTGCCAACAGGAATTGGTATGAATCTGTAAATGCTAGGATGTGAGAATATTTTAACACCTTTTTCCTGAAGCACTTATTGTCTTGCAGAGCTTGATCCTGAAGCCTGGATGCAGCAGGCTCTGGCACATTGGGTGGATCTCAGGTTGGATGTAACACAACTCATTGTAGATTTCAGATTCATTTCAGTTCTTTCAACTGCCCTGATAAGAAATGCTGAAACTGTATAATTACATTTCTGTGGTTGGATATTACTTACTGTAATTTGTTATCTTGATGTAGTTTATGCACGGTGTTTGCCATCATAGTTACAGTTTGAGAACTCAATAAATTGTGATTGACTTATTCCCATTAAAAAAGTAATTTCAGAATAAGGTCTTCTCTGTAGTGCTGTAATCGAAGATTGGAATATAATGAGAGCAAGTGATTGTTCTTCTGCAGATTTCAACGTGCCACTAAAACCAAAAGAAAATGGATGAAAACCACAAAATCATTCTCCACATTTTGGTTTAATGGAAAATTCAGAAAAATGTCTGTTTTCTGAAGTGGAGACAAGTGAGTTCAGTTGTATTCAAAACCAAAGAAGTAGGAATTGAATTAAAATATTTTAAGGATATAGTAATTTGCTTGAAGATCTAGAATATTGTACTGCTTTCTGCCTGTTAGTGTTAAAAACTGTTTCCAGTTGCCTGTTGATTGAGCCAGACTAAGGGAAGGATTTATCTTCCTTTGTAGCTGGATTTGGGTCTAAAGCAGTACATCAGACTCTGCCAGTAGTCTTTGGGCAGACAATGTGTCAGAGGCTGATTCAACCTGCCTCATCTAGAAGGCAATATCTGAACAGAACTTTGGAGTACCTCTCTTTCTGCATTGGACTACCTTAAATGAGAAAGTTGATCCTTGGGAAATGACAGAGACGTTTTGTAGTTGAGTTTTTGGAAAGCAAAAAATTTAGGGGAAAACATGCATTGTCCATCTCCTACTTGTTTTGTTATAAAATTCCTCAAGAAATGATGTGGAATCATAGGAAAATTATTTAAGGATGAATCTCAAAGGCCAGGTACTCCATTCCCATGACCTGGGAAAGATACCCTTGTGTATTTCTTCGGTGCATGTTTGTCTGGAAAGTTCCAAAGAAAAACAACTCTGGTAACAAAGATTCCACATCACCCTAAACAATCTCTTTCACGGTCTGAAGCCTTGAAGTTTCTATTGCGATTGAGAAAGATGGTCTAGAGGTTACAAAGATGCCTTTATTTATTTTTTGGTGCAGATATGTAAAGCTTTATAATTTGGAGAAAAACACCAGGCATTTATGCTGTAAAGGATGGCAGGAAGTGTTTTACTGGTGTAAAGAGATCACTGAATATAATATGGATGAAGTTTGTCTCATTCTTCTGAATGCATCTCAGTGCTTGGAGGAT